ATCTTTTTTTTGTCAAAATTAACGTTATTATAACGTTTGCAAGCCCTGGTTCTATGTGTATTAACACAAAAATGGTGTAATATTAAATGCATTACTATTTTATTACAAATTATTTGTCTGAATATGTGCATTTTCGCAATTTTAATAACTGTTATCATAAATAAAATATAGATTACAATTTATATTTAACCAGTAAGTTAACACCATGGCTCACAAAATATTCGTATTTTTATATTAATATTTAATTGTTTGAGACCGTAAAAACATCCATTACTCGCTGTTTGTCCTTTCCTCCTTTTAAATACATTACTGAGGCATTCTAAACATTTTATCGTGGAATTTCAGATATTACTTTAAAGTTTAATAATGATTCATTTAATTATAGTATACAATTGATCCAACTATGTTGACCTAATTATGTCATCTGCATTGGTATTTTTCACTTATGACGTTTATTGCGACCAAGTAATAATTCCTATTATTTTACAATAATTGTAATATTTCTCAAACTCGTAATATAATTTTAATGTTGTAATTTTTTCTTATTTTTCTGTGGTTTTAATATAGGTAGAGTATATGATTGTCATTAGAACCATAATGTGTAAGTAAATACTATAATAGTATATTTTTTTTGTCCTAAAAACTATTTTATCTCCTAATTATTTTTTAGAAATGAAATGAAATATTATTGTTTGATTTAATATTTGAATAACATCGCAAAATATACTAAAAGTGATCAGTAAATATAACGTGGGGAATATTGCCTACATAAAAACGTGAAAAGTCTTGCAATGCTCAAATTCTGGTCGGATTTTTCGCTTACTTACTAAATGTTAATAGGTATCTCATTTGTTTACGGCTGTTTACCGGTAAACATTGAGTCGGTGTATAGGTGTGTCAATAATAATCGTTTTGGTACACTGCATTGTACCATGATATCATGTCAAAGGTTGCGGTTTGTGTTTTATCTCGACATGGAGTTCAACTTTAAAACGATCGATTTTTGCGTCTGACCAGATCATCTTTCGTGTTCTGGAATCATATTGTTCTGACCATTTGCAAGTGGCGATACTATTACTGCACGTTAAGGACAAAGATAGTGAGTTCATGCCCTCGAAACTCCAAGGCAGCTATAAGAGTTATTTTGTACGTTTTCGTTTTTTCCTAGGATTTCTACATACATTGGGGACTATTCTACACGGGTTTTTCATTCGTTTTTTTTTTTTTTTTTAATAAAACAAATATACCTTCTGTGTTTGGTAAGGAAGAAAAAAATACCCAAACAGAAATTGGTTCTCTTGGGAATATTTTTGTCATCTTTGAGAAAAAATAAATTAGAAAAATGCCATTACGGTGTTTTTTTAAAGCTATAAAGTGCCTGCAATACATAACTAAAAATGTGTATAATATGTATTTTTATTATTTATTTTTTTAATAATTCATATAAATGACCAGGAAAATTACCTCTAACACTTGTCCTTTTATTTATTTATTTTAAAATATAATATTAAGTCCTTAAATTAAAATTTTAAATTGATTCAAACCAATTTCATACTCATAATTATCTGTTATAATAAATTAGTTTTTTATTCACTTCGATAACAATTTTTGCTAGGAAAAAATATATAGTAAGCTAATCAAGTTCTATTTATGTACCTAGGTATTAACTTATATATTATGTATTATAAACATTATTTTTGTATATATCCACGAAGTTCGCAATTTTAATTTAAAATAATGTATTCAAATTTTTAATTAGTCCCCGTTATATTAAGTTTATCCAGGGTTCTATCTAGTTTCATGTAAAATAATATTTTTGACTTATAGATCATTTATATTCTTGGACCAAACTTTTTATTTTGAAACTTCACTTAGTTCATCGATTTTTATAATAACTTTTGACTCCACAAAATTGTACAAGAGAGCATCAGACCATAGGTAGGTATGAGTATATGACACTTTGGAATAAAAATATGAACATAAAAATAAGTGATAATATAATACAGAAAAAAAACAGTTTATTTCAGTCAGTTTTAGTAGTCCATCAAAGAATTAATCTATGTGGTCGGTGGTTTTGTCATTGAACTCTTAAACATATCAAGAGAACTAAAAATCATCGAAAAATACAAGATGTGCCTGCAGAGCAGAGGTTGTAGATACGGTAGTGTAGGTATCAGCTGTTAAATATCAAAGTAAGGAAAAGATTGTATTCGTACCATTTTTCGTCATTCTTCGATAATATTTCCTTACATATTTATCGATAATTTTAGATCCACCGAAAACCGTATTTTTATTCGCAAATGAAATAACTCAAACAACAGGATTTCAAATCATTTTAATGACATCATATTATAAAACCACTAGTTTTCTCTCTCTATTCAGAATCAAAAAAAAAAGACATCCCGTTTACTTATATTAATAAAGATGTAATTGTGTGTGAATATTACAATGCCAAAATCTTAGTAAACCACTTATACTTGAGCACTTCCATTAAAAAGTAAAAATGTTGAACCTGAACAAAAATCTTAATAAAGCAAATTGATCATATTTAAATATTTAATTTATTTCTAGAATATTATAACAAACTTTACCTTTTAGTGGTATATAGATAATATTAATATTATGTATTAATTATATGATACGTATGATGTCATAAGACTTACCTACCTATAAATTATATCCAGATTTGGGTACTATTTTTTCTACAAATAATGCAAATATAAATAGTAAATTAGATTTATTACTAGCATAAGCAAAATGTGTTATTTGGTTAAAATTATAATTATGTATATCCCAATCAGATTATAAGAACATGAAACTTAAATAAAATGTAAAGGAATATTATAATAAAGAAAAACTAGTTCCTAGGTATATTATAATTTTTACAAAAGTTTAAAATTTGATTGACTAATAGTTATTTATGTATTATACAATTATTATTTAATTAGTCTTAAATTAAGCTAAAAGTTATAAGTTATGTAATTTGCAACAATATTGGAAGGCGATTTTTGTTTTAAATACTGTTTGTTATGACTTGAAGATTACCTCTATATGTTTATCTTATTGAATTTGTGCCTATGTGCAACATTGTTATTTATATCACATTGAAAGTATGACGTAAACATATTTCATAATATGAATTATGAAATTTAAAAAGTCCCATTTTAACAATTTGCATGTCTATATTCAATAGTCTTTAATATTCCACAATATAAAATAATAAATATAACTGGCCTTCTAGTAATGTGGAGGTGTTTATATGTTTAATAAATTTGTGTAATCAAAAATTGTGCCCCTTTTTTCACGAAGTGATATCATCTTATCTTCTCTGGTGGTATGGACCATAGAATAAGATAGAGGCGCATTATTAGTGTGGTGTACATAGTTCTGGTGGTCCGTGTTCGCACACAGCAAGGATCCGTAGTGCACCCGGTCGTAAAGCTAGTTTTGATGCTAACAACGTAGTAACTATTTTTAGGGGTTACACTTGACTCGAGGGGACTAACTGATTATATTTTATTTCTCCTGCTCGAAGCTCTTGCATGTAGGTCAGCCTCCTAGTATAAATTTAAAAGAAAAAAAATTGTATTTTATGATATGACTTTGTTTGTTTGTTTGATTTGTTAATTTTACTGTTCTATTTATTTTATTTTATTTTTGAATTATATAAATCATATAACTTATCATCGGGAGCGTTAAAAGATATTAATGTGAAGTGGGGCATCCCATGGGGAAGCATGTTCAAACCGCCGGCTTCCTCCCCCCCCCCCCGAACCGGTCCGCGTGAGCACATGCTGGACGAGGAATATTTGCGAACTTACGACTCTCTTTCCATCATCAACTCGCACGACAGGGTCCGTCTACGAAATTGCCATGCGGGAAAAGATTCATTCGTTTGTCGCCGTTTCCACTTATTGCAATCGCACATAAACTTTTTGTTACATCGTATGTTAATATTATAACCACCATGCATGACGCTTAAAATAATATTAAGAATAATATTAGTGTAAAGCTATTATTATATTATATTATATATATTATATATAATATTATCATTACAGAATGCTGGGATATAATACTCAGACAGTAATATTTTGTTTAAAAATATTATTATAACATTATACCCACGGTTTAAATATACAAGGTTATTGCACATAGCCCATATTGTTAACAAAAATAAAATGGCAGCTTAAAGGTACGGTCCATATCATAGTATATAATATCATATAGTATAGCCAGTATAGTCATCCCCTTAAGCTGCCATTTTAATTCTTTAACGTGATAAAATGATATAATGTTGGGGGGTACCTACTATTGCAATAACCTTGTATATTTAAGCCATGATTATACTTTGTACATGATTGTACCTACTAATATTATTCGTAATTATTAATACTACTATTTATTTTAATTCAAACTTAAAACGTTTATAATCAATGTCCATGCCTACAACAAATATTTTAACTAGTCAAAATTACCTTTTGGCAAATTTCTTCAATAAAATATTTTACTATAATACAACAATATTATAAGTGATTAAAATCCAGAAAAAATGCCACTAACAACATCGGTTTTGTTAGGTCGCTTGTTTCTTATAATTGTATAAGCTATAAGAAATAAGTTGCAACGATTATAATATTATGATGTATAGGAACACCACACACGAAAAAATCATAATTGACAAACAGTAGCAAATGATGCATTCCGTAAAAAAAACAAACAAAAATAATTCAACTGTAAGCTTCTATGCCGTGGTGATGATTTGGAGCCATACCGTAATAAATATATCAACAATTTAAAATTTTTAAACTTTAAGATACTTGTGGGTTTGATTTATTATACACGATAAAAAATAAATTCAACAGACTGTTAGAAACGAGGTGGTAGCCCATACTTATTGTGCTTATAAATCGGTAATCCCTGACACGTCCTAAAACAACGACGAGGCGCTTTCCAAAGGTTTGGTATTGATTTATGATTTTAATTTGTATGTACACTACCCGTATTGTGTCTTCTTCAAAAAAGCAACACGCCCGGCAAGTTCTTTTACGCGGTCTTGTTCCAACCCGCAACTTTTTATCATAGAGATGCCATATACTGTCAAAGTTTCCAACCACTGTAGCAAAGTTTCGTCACTGTTAACAAATAAAAATAAAAATTACATTATGGATCAACATAGGTAATAACAATATATAGTTTGAAGGAGAGAAACATATTTGTTCAATAATACTGTAGTTGTGCTTAAGTAAACGATGTATATGACTGTACAAATATACTCTTATGAGGATTATTTCGTACAGATTTGTAAATTCACATAAATTTACATAATTACAATGAGATATTAGGTAAATAGTGAATATTGGTAGAATGTTATTTTTTTGTTGCAAAATTCGAATTCTATCATGAAACCGTACACCACACACCTATGGTGTGTCACAGCCTCAATTTAAATAAAAATTCTTTGTTTTTTGTTTTATACAAAACTGATCATTTTAAATTTCTATCAGTGGAGTACGGTTGCGAACCTTTAAATTTTTAGGTTTACGATTGCAAGCAGTACTAAAATAACGAAGAACATGATTATGACTCTTCAAACGACTGCACACGAAGTTAGAAGCGATGTACATGGGTTCAAAATCAATAATAGTTGGCCATAAGTGGTTTTTGAAATTTTGAAAAAAAATTAAAACTATATTGTATAAAAATATTTTCTATGCCTCTTTAGGTTTTCAAAGATGCATAACTTAATCAAAAAAGTCACTTTTTTACTCTTCACATTAAGATTATATGAACAAAAAAAACAGATTTTTTTCAACCCATTAAATGTTTGTAATTTCGGTTTAGAGTATATTATATCATCATTATTGCAGACATATTTTATCTGTACAATAATTTGTAAGGATAATAAATTAATACTTGGTATAGCATTAGTTATATGTTTAATAGCGTAGGTTTTTAATTAGTTCTTCCACTGATCTTCACGCTAATATATACACCTCAAATAACTATAAGGTGTATAGTCTGTACATGTTTAGATTAGCTGCCCATATTAGCCCATTATTGAATAAGGAGAAATTGAGTGTAATAAAACGCATCGAATTATTAAACGAAATAGTTACGTTACACTGTTTCAGCCAATTATCGCCTATTACTAAATCACCTATTATTATCGTCTGATTCTCTTTTGAGTAGTTAAAGGGAAGTTAAAAGAAAAATATGAAAGTTTCATCCTTATGGTTAAAGAATTAAGTATTTAGTATTAAGTATTATATTAAGTATTAATTTTAAGTAGTTATAGTAGCGATGAAAATAGTGATTAAAATGTAGGTATATATTTATTAAAAAAAAAAACTTGAATAATAAATACATTTTGAGTAAAAAAATTGTTTTAAATTTGAGTTACTAGTTGTACCTATACATTTTTTTGGAAAATTGTACTACCATATTGAGTTATGGCAATATATTTTTACGTTTAAATCACCGAGTGACGTTGCCAAATTTTATAACATATTTCAGTTATTTTGAAATTTTTTTTTTATTTTTAATTACATAATATGTATATTATACAAATGTTTACATCCATTCAGAAAGTAATCAAACAAATGTACTCAAATACTTTACAAGAATGTTATATTGGCTTGAAAAAATATTATAATAAAAGATACCTACTTAGTTTTTATTTTTAATGTACCTATACATACTCTTTTTTTTTTTAAGACTTTCATTGGTTAACATGTTCGTGGTCAGTTACTGCGATAACAAAAATTTCAATTTTTTTTCAATTCTAATGTAATGGGTCACTACTGCTATAGCAGTAATTTACAAACCCACATAATCGGGCATTACGACTCATGCAGTAATATTTCCAATGGTATTAAATGAAACTAAGCATGTGGCTGACCTGTTATGATCACTCATAATTTTGGGCACAGATAAATATAAAATTCTATTTTTTAATAATTTTTGTTGATATTTTAAAAAATTGAGTGATTAGGAGGAGGGTAAATTAATAATATAAAATGTGAAGTGACCACGGACTTGTTAATATTTATCTAGGATTTGGTGATGGCGTCTCAATCCATAAGATATATGGAAATTAACAACTAGATTCAATTTATATACGTCTTTAAGTCGTAGTTATTTGATTCAACTTACTTTGTCACCAAAATTGTCCTGAGTGAAAGTAACATTCTTTAATTTAGACAGTAGGGAAAACTTTTATTTTGAAACTTTGCATGAAAGTAACTCGTAATCGTATCCCTGAAACCATACCACCGATAAGAACTGCACGCAATTGTATAATACCCATTTCTATGTAAGTTTAAATTTTAAGTGTTGGGTTAACGGAAAAGATATCGTCAGACGAGATCTAAGCAGGTGGTCCGGAGATTTATAACCCCATGGTATGATTACAAAATAAAGGGAAATGTTTTTCCTATTTACAATGTTGGGTGGGGTACGTTCAATCACGTCACTTGAGCAAGTGGTGTTTGTACACGTCTTTCGTCCAGTGAGCGTACCTTAAGCATGCGTGTTTTTGCGAAAGCTTTAGGTTGCCCTGAAGAGGGCAGTTTTGATGCTTCCGTAAGTACCAGGTGTGGTTTCCAGGTAGTAGATTGACAGATTTCCTTCAGCTCCGGATATAATTTTATGACTTCGTTATCTGCCTGTTTTTACCTCGTTGGCTCGCTGAAGAGTCAGACTATCTTCGGTGACCGAAGTCGTTGAACACTTTTTCTTTCTTTTCTAATGGTTGGGTGAAAAAATGTTGGTTGCCTTTTGTGGTTTGTTGCTGATGAGGGACTGCGGGCCATTTTGTAGTTGGTCACTAGAGCCGATAGACTAGTGTCGTGTGAGTCAGCACTGGTGTGTTGGGCTATGGTTATAGTTGAGTAAGGATAACTAAATGGTGCAGAGAACACTTAATGTGTTTTGGTGAAAACTAGTTTGCGATGACCCATTTTGCCAAACTATGAAAGTCTTCCCGGGTGGGTCTCCCTACAGTTTGGATAAAGACAAGGAACGAAGTTTTCGATAGGTTAGATTGAACAAATTAAATTGTACCTGTATAATATATACTCTTTCAATCGTTTCCCCCCATTTTTGATTGACCGTTCGTTTTATGTATGTCATGATAACTAGGTATGAATTTTCTTAAAGGGTCGACAGATTTATATGTGCCATTTTATATCGGTATGTTTCCATAATATGATGATGAAAATCGAGTGAAATATATAAGTGTCCTATTGCAGTTCATACTGTTTCTACTTGATGAACCATTTAAATTAATCCAATTGTGTATTTATAGTGGCTCTGAAAAGAGCCTTTTTAATGTAGGAGGGGTTTTCTCTGTTACATTTAATTATGTATCTACATGGTACCTGTAGCAATAATTCAGTTTTAATGTATTTTCAAAAAACTAAAAGTTCAATCAAATATTAATCAAATTAAAATTGAAAGTAAAATATAAATATTGGTTTAATGACAAAAAAAGTTATTATTTACTGCATTACCTATATTTGTGTGCAAGTAATAATGAAATATTTCCTTAACTCAATTTAAAATTCTATTATAAATTCTACATATAGAACAAAATCATTTATAAGTGCTTTAATGCTCTCTTTTTCTCTTCTAATTAAAAATTACAACTATCATAACAGTTTTAATAATGCATTTAGGAAAAACAAGAGTTTTTCATGATAGATAAAAATTAACAACCGCTGTATAATAGCTGTGCATTTTATAGTGCAATAACTGTATATTATTTCATTATCAAACCTAATGAAAATAAACTTCATTATAGTTTATGATATAGACGTTTTTCTTTAATTAATTAAGTAACCTCACCTAACCTACCCAGTATTCAACAAGGAGTAACCGAGTAACCAATCCCTACAAAAATAATTAAATACTAATAAAGTATATAATATAATATCTTTTAATCTCACCTACGATGACCCAGCATGGAGCTCAAACTTATCACAACGTGATTGGAGCTGAATAGAAGGGGTCCTCAAAGTGATTCTATACAGACAATTACAGGTATACAATGGTTTGTTAATAACATAATTTTAAGGAGGTCAACAAAAATAGACTATCTGTAACCACATTTCAAAAGTTCACGTTTTCAACAAATCATAACATTTTAGACACTTAAATAAACTGTCCCTTGGACAAGCAGAGGCCACCACTGTGGAATTGAAAAATTAAGAACAAAAAAATAAAATTAGAAAAATGTTTAATCCACTTAATAATTCCAATATCTAACAAATATCCAGTGGTGTATTGATGAACAAATTTTTGGGTATACGCACTTTAAGCTATATTTTATTGCAAAAAAAAAATTTTCTCGCTACGCTCGAAATATTACTTACATAATACATTACAAGCTACATTAAACAATTTGTACTATAATCTTAGCTTTTTCTATTTTTATACACAGTATTTCAGTTTGTATGTTAATTGTTAATATACTTTTAACTATTATTCAGATACTCACTCAATAGATAAAATTGTATTTTATTTATTAATAACATTTTTGATTTTAAAATGGTGATGTCTTTCACAAATTAATCATATATCTAAAAAGTAGCAAATTCTAGACAAATATTAACAGCTGATTGGTAACTTAATTTATTAATAAAAAATGTATAACAAATACAACTTTAAATAATTTATTACTAGTTAGTAGTTACTATAATATTTTCCACAAACTTATTTTTTCTTCTTGGACTTTAAACTGTTTTGGATTAATAGTAATTAATTTAGTGTTTGTTGAAAGTTGAATATTTTTAAATACCATAACTTCTTTAAGTTTAGAAACTTCAGACATATGTTCTCCTGGAGTAACTTTAAATGGTTCTATAATCCTTATCGTTCTTTTAATGTGCTTTTGGCCTTGAATAAGTGTAGTTGTACGTTCTTGTAATTGATTAGATAGTACTTATAAATAGTTCTTGTAGACAATCACACATCAAACCCAGGTCTGATACAAATTCTGGACTTGCCAATCTTTTTTTTAGGCCAAGATATTTGTTTCTAGTTTTAGAATCTTTAGTTGAATCATTTGCAGCATTACAAAAATGATTACACAAAGCTGGAAATGTTTTCCATACAGCATTAATGGCCCTCCAGCTACTGGCCACCCAACGGACATCAAGAACTCTACCCAGTTTCAAAAATAAAATATCTAATTCATTACACACATTTCTGAGTTCATTTTGATTCTTAGGAGAAGCGTTGTATAAGACGTATAAATAATCAATGAAAGATTTAAAGTGGTTTAAAGCACCTATGTCTTTTATTGAGTCATGAACTGCCAGTTCTAAACGATGGTTTAGGCAGTGCAACAAAACCAGTAGGCAGTTGTAATCATACCACATAGCTTTATTTATAAATAATCGTTTATCTATAATCGTGGTCACGGTCATCTTCTAAGACCGTGATCGTGGTAATAATGCCATATTGTATACAAAAAATATTCTCGATTAAGTTGTGATATCAACAAAAATATTCAATAATAAAATTAAAAATATATTATCAATATTGCATATTTTATCAGTATACGCTCCTATACGGGCGTATACCTGCGTATTGTGTATATTTTAAAAGCTATACGCTCTGATCGACAAATACGTTTTGGGTATACGCCGTATACCCCCGTATACCCTCCAATACACCACTGCAAATATCCATCCAATAACGACTACTCCAAGCAATGATATTACCTAAAACTTGTAAAAATTTAAAAATTTATCTCCCGTCATTAAAGAAATGAAATTCAAAATCAGACCAATAACGTTAACTTACTCCTTCAAACTATCAAAAGCTCTTAAAACTAACCAGTCTGAACAAAGGGTCCAAACCTCCAGATACGATGACAGAGATCAGTACCACCGATGATAGACAAGCTATAAACTTCACAAATAAATATATATGCGCCACTGACTACAAGGTCGATGAAGCAACTGCATACTGAGCACCTTACTGCTGACGACGACCTTACCATAGATAGGTATCCTACATTTTGTTGTCGGTTGTCTAACTAGCTCCTGATCCACCACACAAGCTCCAAGTCCGATTGCTGGCATATACCACAGCGATTGACTGCTGAACTACAGCGATTGTGTACCAGTGGTTGCATACCCAGCCACCTGTGTATTACGCAGACGTTCAGTTCGACTGCTGACACGAGTTGCAGCCTGCAAGTGTGATATATAGTCATGTCATCGTGACTACTGAGGGTAACTAATTTAGTTGACCAGCAAGGTGATTAACAAATCGAATTAAAGTCAATCGACAACTTGACTTTAGCGGTGAACGAGATCACATTGGGAATCCACATACAAGTCAAGACAGTTATGGTGTGAAAAAAAATGATGCCATCACACATATTGCACAAACACATATTTAATAAATCATTCCCTATAATATGAATGTAAGGACAAGCTCTCGGGATGATTGCCCGTGCTGTTGTCCTGCTCGGGTCTCGCCAATCGTAACTGACATCACAGTCTATTTTTATATATTTTATTGCAGATATAGAAATAAATGAATAGATCTATCTTGGATTTCATAATAAATTATTTTACGAGAAGCTGTCACACGTTAAATGTATGCACCGTTTCAAGGATTTATATAATTGTTTTTCAAAGTTCAAACTACAAGTGCTTATATGGAACATTGAATTTAAAGGTTTTTAAGATTTTTGTTGAAATGTGTAAAGTACCATCTGTTACCAATTGCCAATAAATAGTTATACTACATGTCTCCATATATGTTTAAATGTCAAGCACTTGTTCTACCAAAATATTATCGACACAAAAAAAAATATTTGCATGTTTAGAACTCTATAATCTAAAACTTTAAACTTCAAGCCAGAATCTTAAATCTTAAATGTTTCGGATTGTATGTTATGTTTTATACAAAGTGTATTGTTGTATTTTATCTGTAAAATATTAAAATGTATATTTTTGCTATCGATCGTATTTATATTAATTATAGATTAGGTAATTACAAATAAAATATATTCATGAGGTTAGAAGAAGATAGGTTAACACATTATATTATAAAATGGGCTTTTTTGCTAGTTCAGGTTGTTTTATATTTTTATACTAATGTCTATTGAGAAATATAATTAATTGAACTTTATAATTGTACGTTCAGTTTATGCTTCGTTTGGATTTTCATGAATTGTTTATTAATTAGTGACATTTATAAAAATAATTGTAGTATGGTCATATTAAAAAAAAAAATTATTTTTTCAAGGCATCAAACAAAATTAATTCTCCCATTAAATTTAGTCGTTACTTTTTATATGTAACTATAGGGTTATACTTTTTTAATATAATACATTAAAAGAATAAAATAATATAACTTAAAATTGTATTTTTTTTTTTGAGTAAATCCCAATTGTTATTTAACTTTTTTTCTGTTACTTATATTTTGTAAATCGATAACCTTATTATTAAAATAAAATCACTCTAGAGACTATAGAGAGGTAGGTATAACAAAAATATAAACAAATTAAATATATACATTCAATTGGTATTTATAATAATTATTGAACATAATAGCTGAGTGACGTGCTATTTACTGATATAACTTGCAAGTATCCTTAATAATAGAGCAGTGTACACAATATGTCGTTTTTAAATATCAGTTTTTATTATTTTGTATAATATGAATAGTGTATTTTTTAATTTTATCAACCCAAAAACACCGATGCCTGTAAGTGTTTAGTAGTTTTGAATTATCTTTGTACATTTTTTAAGTATTTCTTTATACGATACAAGTAGTATTTAATTTTTATAGTAATTTAATATTATTTTATTATTTTATTTGTGTTTTTGGTAATTAGAAAATATAAACATATTTGTACATAAGTGAATATTTTTAGAAATTAATAATTAATTAAAGAAATACGCGTTATCTCAACTTAAAAAATGTGTTACTTCACATAATATCTTTTTATTATGGAAATATAATTAAAACAATTTGTTTATATTATGATGATGATCACATTAAATTAGGTAACAGTTACTATTGGCATTAAAAATAACTTGCAACATACTTATTGTAACACATAAATCTATTCGAAATGTATAAATTTGAATGTACGCATAATAGTTATTTATTAAAAAAACCACCACCATTGTATTATTATGTTTTAGGGGTACATTATTATTTTTCGTAATTATTAATAATATTTAATTGGCGATATTTTTTAAAATTATATCGATTTTGCAATTTAATACAATTATTATTGTATTGAATTTATCAAGTAGTTACCAATTGAATTTTAAATACCTTTTATTTGAAATGTCATTCAATGGTAAATTTACCTTGATGTCTGTGATTTATTCTAAGTTCCCATATTGTATGTTTTTTATACCATATACATTTTAAATTGTTGCGATAAATTTGATATCGAGATATTTTTAATTCTACGTTTAAATTAATTTAATAAACTAAAATTGATTTTGCAAAATGTTTTTTTAATAATGTATGATACGGATAGTTCTAGATAGGTGAATAAATAATTTAGATAGTGATAGATACGACCTTTTGATTACGTCCTCATATTTAAATGACCGGAATATAGCTGAAAACGATTCCGCAGTCCATTTGACTTGCTGATTTTCGTGGAGTTCTTGACCCTCATTAAAATTTCTCTCTAGGAGCCATTGTAAGTCGTAAGTACTCTCGTGGCTGTCATCCCATTTCACATAGAGCTTATCATTGCTTACAATCTGAAAAGAGAAATAGTGTACATAATATTTCTATTTTATACGAGGTATCAAATGAAGAAAACTGAACTACTATTTATTTGGTATTTACTATAATATGTTTAATAATCATGTACAACATGAATAACCCTTTAGTATATTAAGGGCGTCGGAGTCGGTGCGTTTCTAGTACAAGAATATGTTGTACAGCCGTACAGGAAAAACTCTCACGCCCCGTAGGTAGTATAGTAGGAATTTGTTAATTTTCTTTTTACATTAAAGTTGAGAAAATTTTGCAGGTCAGATCAAACGTTGATTTTCAAAATTATAATTATGTAAGCTAAAATATGAATTTGAATAATATAATATATAATATTCGTTATTTTTCTAGCATTAAAGTAGAATTAAAATATAATCTTAGCTTTTATATAATCTGAAAAAGTTCTCATTTTTTAGCTAAATATAGAGAGTTTTTTAGTCAAGTCATTTTGGTAGATATAATACTCTGTATTGACTCCCTCCTCCCAAATATTTATCCGGCAGTAGATTTACAAGAAGAGTCTTATAATTTAAGGTAACAATTTAAATATAAAACAAAATTTTGAAAAATTGGAAAGACCGGCACCTCACACGTCTTAAAGAGATAAATTACGGGGATAAAAACACTAGGTGCATGTATATAGTTGATAAACATATAGATACTAACAAAATATGGTATTGTAAAGCATAATATTATTTTTTTGAAAAAAATAGTTTAAGTACTCGTATTATGGACTGAAAAACGAAAGTTACTTAAAAGCAAACTTATCTGTCTAACGTTCTGCAATTATCTATTTAGTTGTAGTCCAGTTAGACTGTGCGTATGTTACATTACATTTTATATAAATCATTTTATTCCCTCGTGTCTGCAGTGCTAAGAGTAGATACCGTCGAATACTGCAAAGGCAACTGAATATATTATACACAGTACTTGTGACGTTTTAATTGGAAGAGACTTCGCAATGAGTAAACCTTTCAGATAAAAATCTACTTCCTTTCGTTATTTAATTATTGATTATGTCAAAAAGCGTAGCGAAAAACATACATATGTTACACGTATACATATATAAATAGACGGAATTCTCTGGAAAACTCTTACCAGTTTCATTTTAAAAACACTAAAAGATCTAAGTTAAAAAAAAAAAAGCTAATTGGTTTTATTTTCTTTTATATTCTATTTAATAATAATAGTATGGTGTTATTTATTTTTAATTAATTAATTGTTTATCAGTTGTAGTTACGTATACAGTTATGGTAACTATAATATAACTACCTATAAATTATAATTTATAACGTTTTCAATTTTTATAGCTAAGGATTTAAAATGTAATAATATATGTTTTCTCATACATTTGTTCTACAGAAAAATAAATTTAAAAAATAAAATGTACCAATTTTTCTTACACCCATTCAGGCCCTTACTGGCTACCTCTAAGGGGCGCGGGAAAAAATATATTTATTGGGCGCCAACTATATTTTTATATATCCACTACCAAATTAAAAAAATTGTGTCTACCCATGTATATTTTATTTACAAACTACCACCTGAAGATGTTCAACACAACTAACAGTTCACATATTTTAACCCACGCGTTAGATGATAAACCATTTTTTCTTATACCATCGAATCTTTGAGGCATTTCAAGTTCAAATGTTGTTGCAATGGAATATTTAAACGAAAACTGCGATGTTAGTATTTTGTTCTAATTCAAAAAATATAATTATTCGTAGTGATTTGAAACTCTTTGATAATATACTACTTTATTATTGTACTTGCTCGATGAAATTTTCAAAATATTCATACGAATAGGTATAAAGCTATTTGTACTACGAACATCTTAACACTGTCGTCCGGTACTGGTTTTGGTCATTCCAATCATTCCCTTTTTTTTTATCGGTATCCTTAAGTGTATACATCTATTACGATTCTCGACTGTTTCTAACGTTTTTTACATGATGTGTTTTTATTAGTGATTTCTTATATAGAAATACTTATATACATATTATACATTATACCCTTGTACTGCGGTGGAAGTGTAACGCTAGCACATTACAGTCTTGAGTCGTGGCTTTTACGGTTCAAAGATAATAGTTTAATCAAATTATTTTTTGTTTCTTACGTAATTGAAAATATAAATCAGATACCAACTACTGTTCGTACCTGTATTTCACAGTTGCCTAGTTTGCAATTTACTCACTGAGAATATCACCGTTCTTGTATTTAAATATTATAATTAAACCATTGGAATAATTTAAACTGCAACATCAACGGTACCAGATTCTCGCTAATATTACAATACTTGTTTCTCAAATTGACGTACAAAAATTAGTATTTAAACAGTACTTAATCGATTCGACCATCGTAGTTTTTTAAAACCAAAATTTACCATCCGTATACACCAAAATACAAATTAATGTTTAATTATGATTTATACACTGATATTTAAGAGAAACCAAACACAAATACCGTGGTGAATCGTGAAATATAGGTAGGTAACTGAATTTAACACTGAATTATGTTTGTTAGTAATTAGAAAGAGGGCGAATGCTAATTATATCTCAGACAAGCTAATGTAAGTTATGATCTATGTATATTTTTAAATTAAAATTTATCGGTTTGCTAATTAACTGTAATAGCAAACTAATAATTATCATATTTTACATTTATTTACTAATTACGTACTATAATATGTATTTATTAAGTAAATCGACTAATTGCATTTATCGTGGGTTACTCAAAAATAAAAACTACCGATTAAATTCATAAAAGAGATTTATTTTCATATAGAACATTTTATACGATGTCGTTGAAAGAGGTTTTAGATTTACAGATACCTGCAGTATTATAACTGGAAAATAAATTCACTCAAACTATCAGTAAGAAAGAGAGAATCCTTCAATTCTTGGTATTTCAAACTATTTTAACTTCATCACATAAACGTGATTATCTCCTATCTCAGTAACTAGTTATTGTTGCGAGGAAGTCGATACCTTCTAAATTATTTAAACCAATAAAAAACTAAAAAGCATTACTCGTCTTATACAAATATATACTTATAATATACTCTAAATAAATTTGCTTTCGATTGAAAAATACACTCATGTTATAACTAAAACAAAATTATAAAGCAGACAAAACTAAAAGAAAAGAAGTCAACGTTAACCCAATATATTCGCATCCTGGCTTTGCACAAAATCTAAAAATTGTAAATTCTATCAACATTAAAAATGTATAGTTGTATAGCTGTTTCGCGAACATAATATATGGATGGTGTTTGTATTATATCACATTTTAAAGGAGTTTAATTATATTTAAAAAATTTATTTAAGAGCTGTTATAACACGCCATGAGTCATATCATGGTATTTAAAACTAGCTGGTATTTTTATTTTTATATAAGTTTCTTAAATATTATTTCAAAATGTCTTAGGGTGGGAAAAATTCTTCAATGGCCAATATGTATAATAATTGGTTGAAAAAATTAGTGTATTAAAAAAACCACTCTCAATACTTATAACAAACCAATTACATTTTTAAAAGAATAAGATACAAAAAGTAATACCTAACATAAATATTATAATTTATAAGCCTTTATATAAACCTGAAAACTAATAATTTAATTGATTCTCCAAGCAAGAATGTCTTGTTAAACAAGAAGCACTTTTTAATGACAATGGTGAAATAGATATATTATTATCTAACTGTTTGTTTTTACCATTAACTTTATAATATCATATACTTATATAATACGTTTTTTTTTTTAAATTTATGCATTTATTCATAACATAAATAAAAAATGTAATACTCTATTTTCTGTTTAAAAAGCATTAATATCAAAACGAGAAGAAAAATATAGGTGATAATAATAATATTAAAGTGCATAAGTAATCATACATAATTATTATAATTTATACATATCATATAAAAATATAAAATGAAAATATTATTCAGAAATATTTTCCCCGTTTATTCATGTATTACATGTATTATGTATAATTCTCATTATATTCTCAACTCAAAAGTAATTCAAATTATTTATTTGAAAAATAGGCCTATGATTAATGTCCATAACGACATTAGGAACAGTCCCAAATTAAATATATATATAATTTTTTTTTTTGACAATTCTGTTTTGAAATTGATATACTCTCGTTTAACTTTTATTGTTGGGTATTATTATTATTATTATTACCACCATTGTATTTCAATCTAATTAGAATATACCAATTTTGTACTTGGTGAATTATACCCTAAATCATATTCAGATAAATGTACGTATTTTATTATAAATAAATAAAACTAAATACCTGTAACACCAAAAAATAAATAATAAGCAATTAAGTTCTTAACAGATATCTACTGTAATTGCGTTGTCAATCAGCTTTTATAGTGTCGGTTGTATAATATTTTTTTCTGTGGATGTTCCTTAAAAATGACAATGATTTACGATTACAGGCTTTGGGCCGCTGCCTGCCATTCCAACCGTACGAAAATTGGCCGGTGTCATAGGATTGTGTTACCTTTAATAATTTTAACCTTCCCCTTATATTCTATGTTATATAGTTACCGGGGGTAAATATATAGGTGCAACAAGATTGCTTACTGTTTACCTTCTTCCCTGAAAAAACACAACACGATTGCTCACTTTTTATCTAACCTAAAAAGGTACAAAGTGGATAAATCGTGTATTCATATATAACGTAATACCTATAGTCAAGAATAAATAATTTTAATATAATACATCACAATTATTACGCGTCAAAAAAAAGAACAACCTTCGGTATTCGTCTACAATAATAAAGAACCAAGATTTACTCATAATGATAGTATACCTATTACCTAGTAAGAAATATTGATTGCGCTTCAAACAAAAAAAAACAAATTAAATTAGTTTTAAAATAAGTTCATAAATATTAAGTTCAAAAAATTTCCCAACATTAATAATAAGTAATAACGTAATACATATAGTCAAAAATATGTCAAAT